AAAACTTCAATATATCAGGCAGTACCTCTTCTACTTGGCGCAGATTGGACTGGCGATGTCACCGTGCTCGAATAATCAGCTGCTGCCAAGCTGCAAGAAAGTGCTGGGTTGCTCTTCAATCGCCAGAGTTGAACTTTGCAATACGTGTTTGCGAGACAGACGGTTGCTAGAGCCCTGACATAACATCCAAGACTTAGTTGCCGATTGGTGTCTCATTTGTTAGTTATCTCTTCTTTCTCAGGTTCTTGGCGTATGAGAAGAGCCCGTTTCCCGTCTACTTTGCACGTGGCCTAAATGTGTCCTTATCCACGGATGACCCATTGATGTTTCATCAAACCAAGGAGCTCTCAGTGCTTGAGAAGGGTCAACAGAGACAGAAAGCCACCCACCCTTATGGACATGCACATTTGTATATTCATGCAAATTCATAGAACAACATGCAATTCCAGACTGTCCATACTTTGGTACTTGAAGGAGCCCTTGATGGAGGAGATACTTGTCCGCAGGAACTTTGTTTAAGCGCATTAACGGGCGGGGAAATATGACTATGAAGGTCTCGGGCATACTGATGAATTTCTTAATGTCGCATTTCTTTGAAGGTTGACATGTGCAGTGCTCAAACCAGTGTTGCTTTTGGATGACCCAGGTACAGCATCGCCAAGCAGATTTGGCACTTTACCTCCGTTGACCTTTGCGAAATTGCACGGAATTCTGTGCTGCAAAGCGGCTTTCCTGATGAGGTCAAGGCATGAGGGTGGGACACATCTTCATCTCGACAAGATGGCCAGACCATGTAAGACCTTGTGCAGATTCTCAGAGAGGGTTGCTTGACACTCTTGCTGGTTAGGCCTCTTGGTTTGGATCAGCTGACTTCATGGGGGGAGAACAAGCCGCAGTCAACCAACGTGCCAAATTTGAGGCAGGAATTGCATATGCACAGCTGGGGTCAGGGCCAAGGTGGGTGACCGAGTCTGCCTGAGGATCGCCTACAGAAGACGCGTGTTCAATGAGGAGATGCACTTGCTCTGGGGAAATGTGCCTGGACATTTGTGACCTTCTGTCAAAGTTTGTCAAAGACACACGATAGGATAGGCATGTACACACACAAGCCTGCGGAACAACAGCGAAACACGCCACCTATACAACGAATCTAATGGCGGCCCCTTCCCAGGCTGATGAGACTGAAGATGTTGGAGCTATGTGCAATTTGCTTCTGCTCTCACCTTCAAAGCGGCTGCAAAAGTCCCTGAGCCAAGAGACAGCGCTGAGAGTTCTTGCTGTGTTGCGACGCAGAAACGCGGCAGGTCAGAGTGTTCTTGAAAAGATGTGCTATAAACAGCTTTGGCTGGGACATGAGGTGCACATTGTCGGACTTTGGAATCGACATGGAGCCGAAAGACCCATGCCAGCAAAGTCGCATTTCAACAAGTGGAAACTCGACGGACTACTGCAGCATGCATTGCAGAAGGCAAAGCTAGCAGCTAGAAGTTATGATAGTTGGCAGGGTGGACAATCTGACATGGCTTTTTTGGCACCATCATTTCAGAAATTACTAGGAACAAGAAGCTAGTAGGAACAAGTGCATCGCTACTAGTAACAAGTGCCTTACTACTAGGAACAATAAGCTACTAGGAACGCTTTAGCACCACGGAATAGTTGCCCCTGTGCACTGATTTGGACCCAGATGCGACCTTATGCCGCATCGTTGCCAGCAGCTGGAGAGGAATCAGCCCCTCGGACTGAAGAGCATTCAAGAGCTCACTGTGCGAAAGTTACAGCCACATTTCTTGCTTTCTCGAAAACGTGTTCAGAGAATCACAACATATTTTTTTTCTAGTCCTTCTCCCCGGGCCCACTGTTCTCTACTCCATTATGTCGCACTATATCAACATACCTGTGCACGTTGTGGTATTTGTCCACCACTATATACCTGCTTGCATCACAGACCCTAGAGGTCCCAGTAGACTGGGCTTAAGTAGCAACACCTTGGAGGCAAAGCTTGGGACGATCTCCCCAACTCGGAACCCGAATCACTCTCTCCGATAGCATGTAGCTACTCTACTCAGGAAGGACGTTTTTCATAGCACTCCCCAAATAACAGAAAAGGACAGCAAGTAGGGTCAAAAAAAATTATCCCTTTAACAAGACCCCCTGTGGGGCCCAAAACACCGTCTTACTTTTCATTTCCTGAGTGCGAGTTTTCCAGGAACTGGCCATCCTAGATGCCTCGGAACAGGGTCCACTTGCAGATCTCGGTGAGCAAGTTGCGACTTGATCTGAATTAAACACAAAAGAACAAGAAGACACATATGGACATAATGTTAGAGATGCACTGATGCAATGCTGTTGGCAGTTGTATAAGCTGGGCATGGAAGTGTATGACAGCCGTATGGATTTGAGAGACTTCTAGATTTGAATTTCGGTTGTTAGCACATGCCGACGTACGAAGTGTGTTGATAATTAATCGTTTTCTAGCCCCCAACCACCGCGCAATATTGTAGTTATTTATGTATATGTCTGTAACTCACCTTGGTCCAGGAAAGAGACATGGAGCCAACATGTACCAGATAATCAAATCGTTCCAGGAATGATACTATCGAGTCTATGTTGGGCCCAGGGTTCTATCAATGCATGTGTGCCTTCAAGTCATTGGTTACTGAGGGCCAAGGCAAGGTTTTTGGTTACATACCCAGCTGACAAACTTGCAAGTGAACTAACTAGGGTGACAACAGTGTAGGTAGGTGCTGAAGAAACCAAAGCATTGGCCACTGGCCTGCAAAGGAAAACATAAGGACGCTGTTCGGATTGGAAATGGAGTTCTGTGGTCAATACCAGGATTTAACTATATATTACAGTATTCATGATGTATTGGAGGGGTGTATCAACCTCAGGTCTAAGGACGTTCGAAAAACGTTGGCCAGGATTTTAGAAGTGAAGAATCTTGGTACAAAAAGAATAACCAACCTTGGAACACAACAAGATCATGACATGACCTCAGCCCGAGGGATCTTTTTTAAATAGACTCCCAATTGTAACCTGTAGTGCGTTATTCAACAAGTATAATTGTCGCGAACCATGCCCAGGACTGGTCTGTGCAGAAGACGCTTGGCATTGGTAAATTCTTGCACTCGCACCTCACTTCTGGCACATCCAAGGCTAACCACTCCCCATGGATCGCAAGCAAACATGAAGAAGCTCGGGTCACAGGTGGTCCCACGGCGGCATTGACAAAACAGCCACGGATACCGCCCCGATACCCGTGAAGATTCTTGGGCAGCTGCTTTGTTTCACCTGTTTCACCAAGGACCAAGCGCTTGGTCATAAAGGCTCCTTTGAAATGAGTCGCAGGTTTCTCGGCCGTGTCAACTGCTCCGATTTTTCATCCAAACTGCGACTGCATCGCGACTGCATTTGAGGGGATCGATGAACGTTCCTCACGAAAACAGCGGCTTGCTGAATGAGAAGGCCCAGGAGCCGCAACATCTGTCACATCCGTGCATAAGGGGTTTCAGGCTTTTCTCAAAAATGTCGCAGCAGGTTAGGTGCTGGACTGGTCACAATTTCTTTTGATGGGCGACCGATTATACCGTTTCCGTGCCCCACTGGCGAGGACGAGTTTCTCCACCGGCTGACAGCTGAAATTATGCACACCAAGCCAGACCGGAGAGAGCTCTTCACTGCGGTAGGCCAGGAGACCGGGCATTGGGGCTGGTTTGAGAGGCCTTTTGTGGCAACATTGTTGAGCGAAATGTCAACCATTTGGTACACCTGTCGCCCGTTGTCGATAGGATCTTCCAGTAAAAGCTTCCAGCAAGAGGGGCATGCTCCGAGCAAGACATGCACAAGGAATGCATATACCAACCTTTTTGGGCCTGCCCCGGCCACACAGACCTCTTAACAGCTGGTGCCCTTTTAACAGCAACAGAAGACCTCGGTGCTCGACATCGGCAGCACGGAAATGTTTCTGAGGTCACTCTGCCTTAGCCAAGAGATGCAAAAAGAGATGCAAAAAGATGATCACACATTTGACGTGGTGACAATATGAGAAACAACACTTCGCCGCTTCGCCAAAGCGCTCACAGGTGAGCGAGACGCTTCTAACCGAACGTCCTTTGCCGGTGTAAGGTGTCAGTAAGGTTGTATTTCTCCCGGGTTGAACACCTGGATTGCGCAAGAAGAAGCGTGAAGTGAACAAAGGACAAGAAAATAGAAACAGAAAAGAACGCTTCTTTAATTTTGTAAAGAACAAGGTTCACTGTAGTGCTTCACTCTCTCCTTCTCATTCGGACTTCACTACCGTACCCTGAGGCATTGCTGCCTTGGTGGGTTGCCTCGGAGGATTGGCGATGGCCAGTACCTTGGGGGTCTCAAGATCGAAGTGACTGGCCAAAGTGCAAATGAAAGGCATATATAAAGTGCGAATGAACGGGAAAGACCAGGGACCTTCCATGCAAGAATGCTCTTGGTGCAATAATGGGCAACATATTGTTTGTATATGTTATATGACTGTACATGCCGAGCCACTCTGTCTTTGGCTGGGGCTTTCTTGTGACAAAACAACACTATTGTGCTGTGTGGCCTGGACATTCTCTGTTCTCAATCATTTGAAGTAAGCGTCGATCATTGCGATGCGGACACTTAAGATTAAAATAGCTTAAGTAGCAAGGTTGAGATTGATTTGTACAGGTTCACTTTGAGGGATTCAGGGAGCGGGGCACTGAGTGGCAAGCCTTCGCGCACTGCCCCGCTTCCTCAGTTCCTCAGATTCTGAAGGATTCGTTTCACAGTGGAGACAGGTAGCTGCCGACAGCAAAATTGTGAGGGGTGCACCTTAGCACGCGCGAGGAGTTGAAGGCCTTTGTCATTTTGCCCTCAAAAGGGAACAACAGGACTTCATGGAAAAAGGAATTCTGCACGGAGCGACAACAGGTCTCACAGGTCTGATGAACATAGATCTTACTGTAGATGATCTTAGACCATTTGAGAAGAGCATTGGTCAGGCAGTCGAAGCCGAGCGTCATAGACAGATGATGGAGGCCAAAATGAGCCATGAGGTGGAGTAGAGACATGTTCCTGGTAGCTTCTTGCTACTAGTAGTAATGCACTTGTTACTAGTAGCGATGCCCTTGTTACTACTAGGGCCACAGCCTGCCCCAGCCTCACTAGATCTCATCAACCTCCTCATGAACTTATCAGTCTTTTTAAGTCTATTTGTTCTTTTCATGTAGAGACCTTTCAGGAGATCCAACATGGATACACAATGATGGGCTCATGTGAGTATCCAACAGATCTCCACAAACCACATTCAGCCGTGACATTCAGGCCCACCGGCCACCACCCTCCAGAACTTCCCATTCCTAGCTTCAAGCTTGCTCCTAGTAGCGATGCCCTTTGTTCCTAGTAGCTTCTTGTTCCTAGTAGTAAGGCCAGGAGCTACTAGTAGCGTCCTTGCTCCTGGTGCGCGGGAAAGCAGAATGTCTTTTCTCTCCTTCCGCTCCAGGCAGGCTTTCTGGAGAGACTTCTGGGCGCCGAGCGAGAGAGAGATAATTTGCAGGCATGGCGGAAAACGGAGGAAAACGCATCATATACACCGGGGAGAAAGTTGTTGGCGCAACTCCAAAAAAAAATAGCGGGAACATCGGGAACAGCCGCGCCATGTAACTCCTTTTTCTCGCTATTTGGCCGTCATAGATGGCGCAACTGGTCTTTGGATTGCAGAAAATTAAAATTCTGCGGGGTGTCTGTGCGGATACTAGTTTTCCCTATTTTCCGAAAAACGTTTGGGGCCTATAGATGGCCCAATGGCCAAGTTCTGTACATTTGGCTTGCCGGCTGCAATCTGATTTCCTCATATTTCTTCTTGATTTCCTCTTGCCTCTTGAACTTATTCGTTTCCTTTTGATGTTCTTTTGCGGTGGGGCAATAGATGGAGCGGTCCCAATCTCCGCTATTTTCTGCAAAATAGCGCACAAAATCGTGCAGAATCTTCCTGTTTTTTTAGCCACGGGGCGCATAGATGGCGCAACACACCTGAATGCCCCTGATACCTAAACCTGGCGCAATAAAAAAAGTCACCTCATCAATTTTCCCTAAATTGCTATGACATCCTTTCGAGGCCCTGTTGATCCCCGATGAAGGTTTTGTTTGGTCATGCCTTGCCGCCAGGCCCAGATCAACTACGCAGTGTACGATGCTCAAAGGGAGAAAGACCTCATGGAGGTGGGTGCAGTGTTGAACTGTTGAGTGGCCGTTGGACTATTGGGTGTCGCCGTATTTTGTCCGCGACGTGTGAAAGATCAAGTCCAGGCACGCCTGCGTGGAGAACTGGATGATGCACACCACCAACAAGAAGTCCAGCAGGTCTGCGGGTCGATGTTGTAGGCATGCACACTCCAAGGCCTAAGGAATTCTTAGTAATTTACATTCCATGTTCCATGAGCTCTTGTGAATTGCAAGGCCGGTCAGTCTTAACACAGAAGAATTGCAGGCAGGCTGTTTTGAACCTAGGCCAAGACCTTCGCCATCGAACAGGATGCTCAACGGATGCGGGAAATTGATCAGGTTTGGTGCCCATGACGGAGGACATGTTTCAAACCAGCACAAGAACTCATACCCATTGGCCGTCGTTCATGTACTGTATTATTTGCATGATGTTGCCGTTTCTTGGACAGAGCCATTCGCATGTGTTCAGAGGCAAAGCTTTCTGCAGTGCTTCATGACGAGCTGAGACTGAGAGATGTCCGCGAGGCACTGTGAGAGTTTTGTGGATACCTTGTTTTTGCTGTTTAGAGAGGGATTTCTAGTTTTGTGGACTCAAGCCTACTGAAACCAGAGAGTAACGTGTTGGCGATGCCCAAAGGCAAAGATGGTCGAGGATGTCCGAAGGCCTTTACCGTATGCAATTGAAAGTACAGTCCTGGCTTTAGTTGGCATTGGGTGGACCTTGCTCCGGGGCATTCGAAGTAGTACTCGTAGCTAGATGGGTGCTGTGCTCTGCGTGACTGAGCAGTTGTTGGCAAGTGCCTTGCCAACCCAAAACTTCATGGGCCACGCATTCCACACATTCGCAAAAACTCGGCTTTTTAAGCACTGCCCCTTTCAGGCAGCAGGCGGCTGCTCAGCAGAGCAATGCAGCGTGGAGGGCTCAGGTTCTCAGGGCCACGGGGCCACACGGGCCACATGTGGCACGCTTGGCCAATTTGATAAATGCAAGAGTGGCTTTCTGCCGGCATGTGCAGGCAAACCCAAACTTGTATCACTCTATTGACTCTATCTCTCACTTTCACGTTGTTAGCATACTGAGAGGCTGGGAGATCAGCTCCGGCATGAACGCGCAGAACGGGAGGAGGCGGCGACGTGTATGTATGTTTCCAATATATAGACATTTATATAATTGAAGCAAGACGGGATGGTTACGGTAACCGTAGTGATAGTGATAGTAGTGCGCCTTGACAACAGACAGGAAGAAGAAGAAGAAGAAGAAGAAGAAGAAGAAGAAGAAGAACCAGAAGCAGAAGCAGAAGCAGAAGCAGGTGACATGGGGTGAGTGCAACTGCTCGGAGGTTGTTTGATGATGAAAGAATCACATGTTTTAGAGCCACACGATGAGAGTCTTTTACAGAAAATGCTTGATTCTGCGCTGTGTGTTGCCATTGTCTTCCAGGAAAAACGCCGCTTTGCAGTCTTGCAGCAACAGCTTGATGCTGCTAAGGCTCCCGTACTCTCAAGGGCGTTTCGGGTGCAGCCATGCGCTAGCGGCAAACAAACACATGCAATTATGTGTGACCTCCTGACAACTGGTGGTATGCAGATGGCATAATATCAGCGCAGTCATAGATGACGTTGTTTCGGAAAACAAGGTTTGCCACATTTATATATAGTCTCTCTTGACACAAACATTGTGACATAGGCTGCCTTGTGATTTTTGTCGTTGCCCAGCCGCAGGCTGAGCTGGTGAAGGAGCATGCCAGAGCTTTTGACCTGAAGGCAGCATGCCTTGAACTTTTAGTATTTTTTATCCAAAGATCAATCAAACTTCATCGAACCATTCCTGGTGGTTGCAGGCTGCACTTGACAACCTGAAGACCGTGCAGGCGATAAAAGGGCCCTTTTGCTGGCCCTTGTGAGTGCATAGCAGTGAAGATACCTCAATAAACTAACATTTGCAAGGGAAAACAATCATTTTGCCAAAGAATCGAGCAATCTCCATCTTGCATTGCACTATACAGTGCAGAAAAACACATTGTGCAGGTTGAGAATACGAACCATTTCTTCTGGGATGGCTGAGCTTCACACCAGCTCCCCCATACGCGAGTAGTTCTTGTTGGGCGTGGAGGGTTGTTCGAGCAGTCTTCCGACCACGGCTTTCCTTGCATGATGCCAGGAGTTGCGAGATGCGGAAGAGAAGAGCCGGATGGAAGCGGAGGCAGAAAGTCAGATCAGGCAATCCAAAGAAAGACGTTGGAATCAACCGCTGAAATTTGTCATGAAACGGTTCCCCTCTTTGTCAAACAAGGAGCCTTCCATATCTTCCAGCAGGTCAGCAACCAAACAGTTGAGCGTTCGATCGATTCAATCTGCGACAAGTAACTTTAGGCTTGAAAACAGGTACTTTGGCAGATGTTTTATAGTTTTCCCCAACCGTGAAGCTTGTCTTCAGCCATCGTAAAGACATGTAAAGACTCAATAGAGACTTCAGAGCAGGTCAGGTTCCGGAGCAGGTTCCGGAGCAAGTCCTTCCAGAGGTAGTTCCGGAGAAATTTCTGGAGCAGGTTCCGGAGGTCCTGTAGCAAGTTCGGGAGCAGGTTCCGGAGCAGGTTCTAAAGGAAGTTCCAGACGAGAGCAGGTTCCTGAGCAAGTCCTGGAGCAGGTTCCTGAATTGTCTGGAGCAGGCTCCGGAGAAAGTTCTGGAGCAGGCTCCGGGAGAAAGTTCTGGAGCAGGCTCGGGAGCAAGATTGGGGAGCTCCAGAGCCGGCTTGGGAGTGGGCTCCATGGTTCTTGTTAGTTGCAGCGCTTTCATGCTTGCATGGCACCTTGAAAAGGGCCACATTGTTCAATACATGCGGCAAAGACTTGCGATGTCAGCATTGCCTCCCAGGCAAAGCCCAACTTGGCTGATTTTGTTTTGTACAAAGTGGGGAATGATGCTGAATGCCTATCTTTGGCAGCCGAGCGCGTGTAGTTTGTTATCCTCTTCCTTTCTTTTCAATGATAGGTGGCGACCAAAGAGTGCGCCCTGTGTTCATGCAACGCTCTCACATCTCAACAATGTTGGATGTTTTTGACCCCTCAGGTCTGCAAAAACATCCACTTTCTTGAAGACCTGGTGTAGGTGTAGATGGTTCTCCGCATCTGAAATGAAGGGTACGTCATGGTGTGCAGGAAAGCCGGCAAGCCTTGCTGCAACATGTGCAAGAGGCGCGGACCAAAGGACACTGAAGAGGAGGCATCTGCTGGCAACCAGCACGGATCACGACCTATAACTATAACGCAGGCGTGTTGTGATTGAGAAATACATACAAGAGATAACACCTTGGACGATTGGTTTGGATCATGAATGGACATGATCACACAGAAAATGCAGCGCTCGCTTCCGGAATTGCTTGATGTTTTGAGACCAAGTCTTGTTTTGCCACAATTTGCGCTGGCGGATAATTTTGGCTCCAATCCCAAGATAAGATTTAAGTCGAGGATCCCCACTATGACGGAGTTGGCAGAGCGCAGACCCATCGCAGCCCATGCTCCAGAGGACTGCTCCCAAACTGTCGACATTAATGATCACATAGCTCTACTCCAGATGGTTCAGCTAAAATTATGTGTAATGTCAACTTGCTATGAAGCGCAGCCAATGGTGCTGGGGTTGTAGCAGGCACAGCCTTTGGCAAGAGAGTTGCCAAAATTAAAATTGTCCTTTACATTCAAACCATGCCTTGACGTTGTCAACCGGATCACATGATGCACCGACATTTAGGAGCTCGCAGCCATCACTGATGTTGCAATTCGCAATGGTTTTGTTCGCAAAGTCTTCAGCATCCTGGGCTTTCAGCTTTTGTTGACAACAGCGATTGCAGCAGGGTTGCTCGGCAACATACCAACAATTCCGCTTGTATTTCTTCCTTCTATCTGGCACAAGCACAGCCAGCGTAGACGTGATACACTTTTTTTTGCCCTATCAAGAAAGGGACAATTTGTTGAACAATGCACAACAAGAATAGAGCGAGCAGATCAAAAGTATCCGAGGGTGGTGAACTACGGCGATGCTCTCATAAAGAAAAATCCATCGCTCGTCGTGTGATGGCCTCAGCTACTGCAACAACATCAACATGATCTATGGAAATCCACGGACAAAAATCCTTGCGCAGTCTGGTCAACAAGGTTCTTGCTGACCTTGTCCGCGGCGGTCACGGTGGGTATGTCATGCATTATGTTTTGTTGCCAGGGCCTTAGACCACCCGCACACGCCCACCCTGCTAAGGACAGGGATGACAAAGGTAGGAAGATGTAGGAAGAATGAACCACAAGTGTGCAAGCAGCAAGCAATGTTGAATCCGAAAAGTGCAATCTCTCTTCCTTTTCACATTGATGTTTCTTCTGCGCCTCCAGCAGCATCAAATGTTTCGGAGAACATTTGCATAGTCCGAATCTGCCCTCACACCTACAGCTTGTTTGGCTTCGCTGCCCTTCAACACTCGTCCTGTATTTAAACATCCATCCGAATGCCTGGGATTCAATTCAAAGTACGGCCTCACCATCCCCTGTTTTGGTCGCCCATTGAGGTAGTGATATGATGAGGAAAAGCCCAACGAACTACATCATTCTTGTCGTCTTCACAGTGGCAGAAGCTTGCCTAGCTCATTTGGTGCTAACTTCTAACTTTGCTTCACTTTCGCTGGGTCCACAGATATGCAAGATCTACACAGCATTCCGATCTATGGGACTCTGTGGAGAATTTTATGAGGAAGGACTCTTCTCAAAACGGACCGAAGGACTTGAACGACTCGGCCTCGGACCTGCGGTTCGTCTGGATTGAAAAGGTGCTTCAGACGTGCCTAAGGAAGCTTTCTTGGTGGGATTTATTGCCGTACAATACACTGCCAGAGCCTAAACATTCTGGACATCTCTGTGTGCCAAAGTTAAAGAGTAGAACTCTTCATGCGTTTTACATGCTGGCACACATCATTTGGTGGATCCAGTTTTCACGATCCAAGGCACAGTCCGTACTGGTCACCTTTGCCATTACAGCAGGGATCGTGCTTATGCTGACCCTCTTTGCGTGTCAGACAAAGTATGATTTTACAGGCGTTGCCGTGACATGACCGGCCGCAGGTGACTGGTTTCTCTTCGCATTGGTCAGTATGGCTTGCGGTTGCCATTTCGCAAGGAAGATTTCTCTTCCATTCTCTTCCTAATATAGTCTGGCAGGCTTTCTCCCCTATTTCTTCATGGCGAGCCTTTGCCTTTTGGGACACTCGGCAGCACTTGACAAGGTACTAGGCAAACATAGTCAAACGCCCTCAGAATCATCATAGTATCATAACATAACTGTAACAATAATCGAATCTTCTCCAAACTGATCATTGACTTCAGGCCTTGGCTTTGCGCTGAGTCTAGCATCATGGCTAGGTGCCAGCCAAAACGGTGCCTTCAGGCAGCTTCTAGGAAGAAGATGTTCAGTGCTGCTGGGAAAGTGACACAGTTTGCAGACGTGACTCGAATCTAACTTTTTGGTGTGGCCGCGCAGAACGATGTACTTGGTCTATGCAGCCTTTGGAGCACTTCTGTTTTCAGGCAGCTCCTCAATGTGTGTTTGCGTGTGGACGTGCTTGTAAGATTTAGCTCAGGAGGTCTGGCCTATTGCTAGCTCTTGCTTTCTCCAGGATACATCATCCTGGACACACAGATGATCATTGGAGGAAAACATGCAAAATTTAGATTTTGCATCGACGACTACTGCTTTGACCCGGCCTGAGCAATACTGAGCTTGTGCAAGTGAGATAATGCTTGAGTGAAACTTGATTTGACAAGGTTTAGGTTCAGCATCTGAAGCAGGTTGCTTTTAGCTTTGGTGTGAGATGCTGACCTGCTTGAGCACAAACACGAGGCGGCAATCCACATTTATCTTGATATTGTGAACCTCTTCATCTTCCTCTTGCAGCTCTTTGGTGAGCGTAGGCGGTGATAGAGACGAATGCTGAGTGCCACATAGATGGATGTGCCATGACCACGTCATACCATGCCGAACACTGGATCAGCACAAGCGTACAGGTGTGCCAGAAAGGAGGGCGATCGTGCTTTAACTCTTGATTCGGTTGTATTGCTGAGCAAACAAGGCACCAACCCTATCTGAAGCGATCTCGCATTTGGGTCTCTTGAAGCTATCCTTTCATGAGTTTTCATGATGAGGGTCTGGTCATGTCTAGCAGCTACTGGTAGCCCTATGCATTTTATCGCCCTTTGCAACTTGTGAAGCTTGGCTCAAAACCATAGACGAGAAGTCTCGACTGGTGCAGAAAGATGTCGAACAACATGAGGCTCCACATTGATACATTGTACCCCTTTCGCCCATGACTTGATCAACACACATACAAGCCTACGCACAGGCTGTTGCTGAACCCTGTTGCACTGATGATGCATACATTCAGTCAAATTGCCGTTCATCTCTTGACAGGAACAACTATGATCCCGTCTCGACTGACAACTGTGCGGGAGATGCCTCTTGGCAGTGTTGGTGTTCAGCCGTGAACTGAATAATTTGGAGAAGAAAGCGTTTGGAAAGGAAGCACGAAGCGTGTTATGTCAGCTCACTATTTCAATGCCTCGCCATGACTCGCCATGCCCAAATTTCGATCAACCTTCTGGTGAGTCACCAAACTTGAAGTGCTTCTGAATGACAAATAGACTTGAGACCCATCATGAAAAAGCACGAGAAACGCGCTTGCTGTTTCCTTCTGATAATGGGCCCCACGAGATGTTTCATGATGTTTCCATGTTTTAAGCTTGAGGAGTTGGCGGGCATTGCGGACATCTCTGTGCGCAATGGCTTTGTTCGGAAGGCCAGAGTTTTTCTTGTTTTCTGTGGGATATGACAACCCCGGCAATGGGTATGCTGCCGATAAGGCGAACCAAACCGTGGATTCTCAATATGATTCAGCAATCGCTATGCTTGCACTTTGGAGGTTTTCTCCATTCTGGCAGTACAGCTGGTTGTCACGACCGTGATTGCGGGGGTGAACCTTGGATTGCATGACTTGAGAGTAGGTGTACCTGAACATAAAAAAGGAAAGTGAAAGCCTTGTTAGATCTTTTAAGCCTTGAAAGCCATATCTTGAGCAACGAGTCTGGGAAGGAAGACAGTTGTTCCTTCCGTTCTGCAATTTATGACATTCAGCGTTCGTTCATCCATTCACCGTTCTGCTTCTCGACATGGCAATGTTTCTTGAAACTTGGAAGTGTCCCACAAGGCTTTCGCAGGCGACGATTGATTTGAAAAGAACAAATCCAGGTTTCCTGTCGCCCCTTGCCTTTGTGGATTTCTGACTTGTGCAGCTCTTTTTAACAACATGTTTAGCCTTATTGTGCTGAGAGGTTGCACATGATGCAGTTGTTGAGTGAATCAGCTTTTGGCGAAGACGTGCCGACAGGATGATGTTCGTTGTAAGGTTTTTGATGATATGCTCTGTTGCCGCCTCCATCGCAACCATGTGCGTTTTCATGTGCTGCTTAAGTCTCAGTGGTTTCGGTTTGAAAGAGTGCGGATTGGGCAAGTTCATCAAATGTTGATCAACTTCATGGAACCTCACAGACCTAGGTCCTCATACGATGCGCAAGTATCCTGAGAACTACGTCTTGCTAGGAGTCTTTACAGTGGCAGATACCTGGCACCAAGTCTTGGCAAGGCTTTTCCACCGGCCTTTTGTTGCTGTTTTGGCCGTTTGGTTGGCTGACCAAGGAGTCGGTCCTGGTTGGGGTGACTTGTTCGGCCTACACGGTGCCTCGGCCTCTGAGTTGAACATTTTCACAGAAACTGTTGCACTTTCACCCGCAGTGCTAGCTCTCATCCTGATGTCCTACCACCCCAGCACCGCCAGACCTTTTGTCGGAGTTTCCGTCAGTTTCCTGTCACACTACACTACACTTTCAGGTCGTGTTCTTTGGAAGAAACAACACATTTCCATGTTATTGACGGCTGTGTTCACACCTCATTCACCTGATTCCGCTAACAGTTATCCAATTGGAAAAGGATGGCAAAAGGAGAGTTGGAGGTCGGAGACGGCAGTGGCGTCATTTCACACACAAACATCCCTCCGGATCGGAAACAGAACGTGTGGTTGTGTACATTTTTTAACATGAGAAAGTCTGCCAAACCACAAAAACGCGGTAAAAACCACATGTCTTAAGTCTCGAGTTGTCATCGATGC